ATACAGTATGTTTTGAAATATTTTATTTTTGTGTGAACATTTCCTTTAACAACTATTCATGTATGGCTTTAAATGTTGCATAAACATTCCTTGTACCCCTCTATTAGTCTGTCTGTCAACAGCACCTTAACTGGCTGAACCTGTGATTTTAAAGCATTACCTGTAATATCCCTGTTTGTCTTTTGAGTACATTAGCTTTTCAATGCACGGTCGTTCATCCACCTTCTCCTCCCATTTCCCATCTGTCCAGCCCTCTGCGTAGCTCTGCAGCACAAGGATGTGGTCAATGAAGGGACCCCCAGACTCTGAGATCAGCAATAAAGACACAGAATATGGGAATCATAATTGAGTCTCAGCTTGTACTGTTTATTAATGCAGTGCTCCTACTCATATTTAAATACTACACTGTAAAAACGTTTACTGGCACATGTTTGAGAAGAAAATACTATTTCAGTCTTTCTACTATAAAATTTAAGCCAGTGTGTTACTTTGTATTTAATTGTGGAATTTACTAGCAATTTCCGAGTGAAAATTATTGTATATGACTAACTAGACAGTCATGCAAGACTGTCCGGATAGGTGAAGTATTTTCTGTGCCAATAGCGTCACCATATGGAACTGTACGTAATGTATGTAATTTCTCCAACATACCTCCTGTCTGAATAAATGAATGACAGTTAAATTAAGCTAAATAATCACATATGATTGTAATCTCTCAAACAAACAAACAAACAAACACACAAAAACAGCATGGCTCACCAGCAATAAACTCCTCATACTCAATGACTGGTATGTTAGCCTGCAGGCTGGTTATGCTGAAGAATTCCCCCCACGGGATGCGAACCTGATGTATATCAGGGCTCTGCCAGTGATACAGGCGACCCCATGGAGGCAGCACTAGCACCCAGTCACCCTCTTTCCTCAGTGTCTTCAGCAAAGAGGCCATGCGAATGTACACATCTCGGCGAAGATTGAAGCCCTCGGGTGGATTTACATCATATAGGAGGTATCTGAGAATAATAACATGATCATTCCTACTGTGCTGTGCAATACATTTAAAAATTGTGTGTGTGTGTGTGTGTGCGCAAACAATTTAATAATAAAGTCAAACTTTCAATACTTCCAATTCAGACTTTTGAGCATTATTGCCTAAAAAGGAAATAAATCATTTTTCATTACATTTACTATGAAATATTCTAGGTGATTCTTTGTTTTGATCTTTTCTTTAATCAAACTTCATATTGTAAAATTAGTTATTTTTCCCTACTTCTCTCTAAACTGCAATAATAAAATAACAGATTTCTCAGACTGCTATCACAAAGAACTTGATGAACAAATTAAACATTCAATCATTTAGTTGGAGCATTTTTGACCAATTTAATTTTTCCAATAAATTTATTATGATTTTTTGAACTAAAAAAGTTCAAACAGAACATGTTTTATTGTAAAATTATCATTCTTTTTTTCCTATACCTTTTCAATACCAAATTTATTATTTATTTTCATTTATTTATATTCATTTATTTTTTCAATACCGAACTAAACGCATTTATAAAACAACAGATTTCTCAGACTGCTATCAAAACTTTATATTTAGTGTGAAATATTCCTGATTTTTTGTCTTTCATTTTTTGTCCTTTCTCTAACCAAAAAACAAAACGTTTTTATAGTAAAATTATGTGTAAAACTAAATGTGTGTGTGTGTGTGTGTGTGTGTGTGTGTGTTATTCCAGCATTATATCAAGCATATATAAATATTGCTTTAGTTTGAGAGACAGTCTTTTCACACCTTACAGTATTGATATTAGTTTAAAAGTGAATTATTGTAATCATGGCAATTTAAAAATATATAATAAATTATAATGCTGAATAATACCCAGTATAATATTCCATAAAGAAACATTTCTAGTTGGGTGTTAATGAAGGAGTTACTGGAGGTCCATGAGACAAAAAGGGGAAGTCAAGCTTTTTATATTTCTGAAAGTCTCTTAGCCAAAGCCTCGTAACCATACTCATTTATTTTTTATTAATTACGGACTTCATGTGGCACTACATTACAGGAATAAACCAACACAAAAGGATGTAACAGCTGTGGAACTTAGCCATGTAAATATAGGAAGCATCTTTTCCAGCACGATTCCTACCGAACATCCCGTGATGCTGCAGCCACCGGAGACCATATCGACTGCCCGGCACGAAATGCATCGTCCTCTGAAGCCGAAGTGAGTTTATAGGATAAAACAGCAAGGATTAATACTGAATAATATCGTAAAATATCATGAAAGGGAGCCGACACAGCTGTCCCCCTCCTGTTCGCCATGTCTTTCGTAGCCACGCACTTCCGGCGTCGGTACAGTTGCCTAGCAACTCAGGCACCTCGTTACAGAACCGGTTAATATCGGCGTTTACTGCTTTTCGTAGTCACCTAATCCAATTTCTTAAAGTTAAAAATAGCTTTATGCATAAGATAATTAACGACCCTTATATTTTGTTTTTCTAAGAAAAAAAGAGCCAAATCTGTGCTATTGTTGTTCAATAGCAAAATGCGGATAAAACTGTAGTTTTATTAATGCAGTGCTCCTACTCATATTTAAATACTACACTGTAAAAACGTTTACTGGCACATGTTTGAGAAGAAAATACTATTTCAGTCTTTCTACTATAAAATTTAAGCCAGTGTGTTACTTTGTATTTAATTGTGGAATTTACTAGCAATTTCCGAGTGAAAATTATTGTATATGACTAACTAGACAGTCATGCAAGACTGTCCGGATAGGTGAAGTATTTTCTGTGCCAATAGCGTCACCATATGGAACTGTACGTAATGTATGTAATTTCTCCAACATACCTCCTGTCTGAATAAATGAATGACAGTTAAATTAAGCTAAATAATCACATATGATTGTAATCTCTCAAACAAACAAACAAACAAACACACAAAAACAGCATGGCTCACCAGCAATAAACTCCTCATACTCAATGACTGGTATGTTAGCCTGCAGGCTGGTTATGCTGAAGAATTCCCCCCACGGGATGCGAACCTGATGTATATCAGGGCTCTGCCAGTGATACAGGCGACCCCATGGAGGCAGCACTAGCACCCAGTCACCCTCTTTCCTCAGTGTCTTCAGCAAAGAGGCCATGCGAATGTACACATCTCGGCGAAGATTGAAGCCCTCGGGTGGATTTACATCATATAGGAGGTATCTGAGAATAATATCATGATCATTCCTACTGTGCTGTGCAATACATTTAAAAATTGTGTGTGTGTGTGTGTGTGCGCAAACAATTTAATAATAAAGTCAAACTTTCAATACTTCCAATTCAGACTTTTGAGCATTATTGCCTAAAAAGGAAATAAATCATTTTTCATTACATTTACTATGAAATATTCTAGGTGATTCTTTGTTTTGATCTTTTCTTTAATCAAACTTCATATTGTAAAATTAGTTATTTTTCCCTACTTCTCTCTAAACTGCAATAATAAAATAACAGATTTCTCAGACTGCTATCACAAAGAACTTGATGAACAAATTAAACATTCAATCATTTAGTTGGAGCATTTTTGACCAATTTAATTTTTCCAATAAATTTATTATGATTTTTTGAACTAAAAAAGTTCAAACAGAACATGTTTTATTGTAAAATTATCATTCTTTTTTTCCTATACCTTTTCAATACCAAATTTATTATTTATTTTCATTTATTTATATTCATTTATTTTTTCAATACCGAACTAAACGCATTTATAAAACAACAGATTTCTCAGACTGCTATCAAAACTTTATATTTAGTGTGAAATATTCCTGATTTTTTGTCTTTCATTTTTTGTCCTTTCTCTAACCAAAAAACAAAACGTTTTTATAGTAAAATTATGTGTAAAACTAAATGTGTGTGTGTGTGTGTGTGTGTGTGTGTGTGTTATTCCAGCATTATATCAAGCATATATAAATATTGCTTTAGTTTGAGAGACAGTCTTTTCACACCTTACAGTATTGATATTAGTTTAAAAGTGAATTATTGTAATCATGGCAATTTAAAAATATATAATAAATTATAATGCTGAATAATACCCAGTATAATATTCCATAAAGAAACATTTCTAGTTGGGTGTTAATGAAGGAGTTACTGGAGGTCCATGAGACAAAAAGGGGAAGTCAAGCTTTTTATATTTCTGAAAGTCTCTTAGCCAAAGCCTCGTAACCATACTCATTTATTTTTTATTAATTACGGACTTCATGTGGCACTACATTACAGGAATAAACCAACACAAAAGGATGTAACAGCTGTGGAACTTAGCCATGTAAATATAGGAAGCATCTTTTCCAGCACGATTCCTACCGAACATCCCGTGATGCTGCAGCCACCGGAGACCATATCGACTGCCCGGCACGAAATGCATCGTCCTCTGAAGCCGAAGTGAGTTTATAGGATAAAACAGCAAGGATTAATACTGAATAATATCGTAAAATATCATGAAAGGGAGCCGACACAGCTGTCCCCCTCCTGTTCGCCATGTCTTTCGTAGCCACGCACTTCCGGCGTCGGTACAGTTGCCTAGCAACTCAGGCACCTCGTTACAGAACCGGTTAATATCGGCGTTTACTGCTTTTCGTAGTCACCTAATCCAATTTCTTAAAGTTAAAAATAGCTTTATGCATAAGATAATTAACGACCCTTATATTTTGTTTTTCTAAGAAAAAAAGAGCCAAATCTGTGCTATTGTTGTTCAATAGCAAAATGCGGATAAAACTGTAGTGGGCAGTGTCGGGACTGTTGTGACACATCGCGAGATTTCCTCGATGGTGTCGCGCCACCTTGACATCATGAAGCAAGGCCAATGAGCAGTGGCGACGGGGTGAAACCTGTGTGTACAGTGATCCAGAACATCAGCTGAACTCTGAGTTTTAGCTATGTCATTAATAATCTTAACATCTGCGCACAGGTGAGTGTTCCTCAAGTGCCACAGGTTTGATGTCGTCATGGATTCGTTCTGCGTATTGACTCCAGAATTGAATTATTGCTTGCAATTTGATGTGTAGGAGATCTGCAGACAGTGCAACATAGGTCTCTTTTCCAAAAAGAATGAATGAGATCAAGTTTGGACGATGTCTTATAAATATACAATAGCTAATAAAGTAAGGAATGTGTCGTTTAAATGTTTGCGTAGATCGAACCCAGCAATACATGCTTGTAAAGGTTTTAGAAAACATATAAAAGCAAACTACACTTTTCCTAACGTGTGCGTGCGTGCATGTCGTGTATTGTGTTCTTGTCAATAATAAAAGGGATAAATATAACTAAATAAGCATAATCTACTGTTTATTTGAGGTTCAGTTTCAAAATATTCTGTTACCAGCAATATGTATAACAGTTACACCATCATTTATTTGATCCCATACAGATTACGGCCAATCTGCAGATTGCAGAGAATACAAGGACACATGGTAAATTTGAGCTTTAAGCAGGGATAAGTATTCGTATAATTTTTTTTTTCAGTTAGTCAAGAGTATGGACACATTTAATCAAATGTATGATCCTTTTCATTAAATTTTTTATGACCCTAAAAACCTTTTGGCCTGGTGTCTCTTATATAATGCTTGAAATAATTTGTCCTTTTTTCACCTGATATCTTGTGCTTAAATGCTTGAAATTATTAAAACTACATTTTATTTATTTTTTTATTAAATAAAAGAATATGTGTAAACCTTGACTTGTGGTGTACTGTACACGTTTTAGTGTAACAACATTGTATTAATTCTACATGTTTCTTCCATTGAATATTGTCTCATCTCAGATGTCGAGTAAAGCTGGGTCTGAAGTTCTGTTTGAGAACGTTGGGAACGCTGGAGTCATCACACTAAACAGACCCAAAGCTCTCAATGCTCTGAATCTCACCATGATCAGACACATCTACCCTCAGCTCAAGGTTAGGGGAAACTGGAAACCTGGAAACCAACTTCATATGAAAATTTCTGACTGTTAACCTGTTTTAATCATTGTGTTTTGTAGAAATGGGACAAAGACTCAGAAACAGATCTAGTGATCATTAAAGGAGCAGGGGAGAAGGCATTCTGTGCTGGTGGGGATATCAGAGGTATTTATGTGTAAGATAATCATACAGTTTTTCATTCACTCTTAAATGGATCTATGCATTGATAATGCAGTCAAACAGATCTGGCATTCACACTGAAATGCAAAAAAATATTTTCCCAGCTGTCACAGAAGCCGGAAAAGCAGGCGATTCTCTCGCTCAAGACTTCTTCCGTGAGGAATATATTCTTAACAACACTATTGGTATGTTTTCTCACTTCTGTTGCCATTTTTGAGGATTGATGAACAGATTTATTTATTTTAGTAATAATTTTTTTTATTTGAACTCTTTTTAGGTACATATCAGAAACCATATGTGGCTCTAATTGATGGAATTACAATGGGAGGAGTAAGTATTGATCTAAAATTGTAATTTTGCTGCACAAGTTCACCAGCAGATGGTGCTTGGCAGAATATGGCATTAAAGGAACCAAAGGGCCAGAGGCAATGTGGGCCAGCTTGTCTTGTGTTTACAATATATAAAAATAAATGAAGGACAAAGTGTCCTGCTTTATATAAAACAAAACATATAACCGTACCATTCTTTTCATTGTGTCACTATTAATTTGTCCAAAAACAGTAGGACTCTCATTGCCACTGGCTTCATGCATAATGAACAGTCTAGGTGTTTTCATTTGTAAACATATGCATGAAAATATTAATACATATGGAGTCATGAGTTATTATTATACTGTATGTATTTTTAGTGCAATTCCCAATATTTTGCAGTCATGTTTGACCATATGAGCTGCAAGCAAGTTGTGAAGCATTATGAATCATAAACCCCTCTTTTAATCCTCTTAATTTCTGTCCTGCACTGCGTATTTTATCCAGTAGGTGTCAGCAGTAAGCTGATGTTGCACACAATCTTTGGGTTTCTTATGAATCAGTTCTCAAGTGTCCTCCCATTGGTAGGCTATTTGTGTTTGAGTAACACTTTATATTTATATTCATGTTGCACATTACATGTAGGCCTAAAAGTCATTCATTTAATAATTAATTACAGTTGCAGTTAGAGATGCATCACAAATGATTATGGATTCAAAAATGTATAATCAAAATTATTAATGACAAACAATTCTGCTTAATGAAAAGAAAAAGGTAAAACTATCGAGAGGTGCCTAAAATTCCTTATAATTCTTAAAGGAATAGTTTACTCAAAAAAAAAAATATATATATTTTTTTTTTTCACCCTCAGGCCATCCAAGATGTAAATGGGTTTGGTTCTTCATCAGAACAGATTTGGAGAAATTTAGCATTACTTCTCTTGCTCACCAATGGATCCTCTGCAGTGAACGGGTGCTGTCAGAATGAGAGTTGATAAAAACAGCTGATAAAAACATCACAATCATCCACAAGTAATCCACATGTCTCCAGTCCATCAGTTAACATCCTGTGAAGTGAAAAGCTGCATGTTTGTAAGAAACAAATCCATCATTAAGCTGTTTTAACTTTAAACCGTCACTTCTGGCCAAAAAAAACGGGAAAAGTCTATAATTGTTTAGAACTGTTTTTGCTTGCAAACAGTGCTTGATCTGTGCATATTTCTGATTCAGATGAGACGACTTTTTCACTGGAGAAAGCAATATTATGGATAGAGGACTGGTCTTTGGTTTGAAGTAAAAAAAAAAAAAAAAGGCTTGATGGATTCGTTTATTACACACACGCTGCTTTTCACTTCATAAAACATTAATTAATGGACCGGAGTCATGTGGATTATTTTTTTATTATTATGTTTTTATCAGCTGTTTGAACACTCATTCTGACGGCACCCATTCACTGCTGAGGATCCATTGGTGAGCAAGTGATGTAGTAATCTGTTCTGATGGTCAAACAAACTCTTCTACATCTTGGATGCCATAAGTGTGGGTACATTTTCAGCTAATTTTAATTTTTGGGTGAACTACTCCTTTAAAAAAAAAACATGTGTATTCATAAGCAGCATATTCAGTAGTTGTTGTTCATTTTTATTGTAAAACTTTCACTATAACATGAACATATTAATCTGTACAAACTTTAGTGCTTGTGTAAATATATTTGAAACACTCTTTTACCAGCACAACAGAGCAGTTGAAATATTACTGTCTTCATAGTTTCATGGGGTTCTGGCAGTAGGAGAGCAATGCCACAGCGGTGAATCTGTCAGCTCCTGGTGTTTAATTGATCAGGGATTCTGTCAAGGTCGAGGTGCGGTGATTCGGCCGTGCATCCTTTGGTCTGAGCCGTTTGATGCATCGCTGCTGCGTGATATGTTTCAGCTGAGGACTCTGAACTGTTATTTAAGAATGGAATGGCCATGCAGGTTCACTGAGCGCATTCTGACCTCAGATGTCTCTAAGGTTTAGAAATGGATTTTTCCATTTACTCCGATATTTGAGAAAAAGAAATGGGCAGTAGCTGCAGAATCACAGATAATGTTATTACAGCGTTTGCAAGACAGCACTGTATTATTCCACAACTATTCTTGTTTTCTTCTTCGTCTTCATCTTTTTTCTGCAATTCATTTCTTGAAGAGATTATTTACTCAAAACATATGATGTTAACTTATGTTATGATGTTGATATCATGTTCCAAACCTGTATGCTAGTTAGTTAAATGGGATATATTTTTTATATTTCTTTTACATAGAAAAAAGCTTTCTTACTAATTTGTATTGCGTGTAGTTTAAGGGACATGGTCACTATGAGCTATAGTTGTATTTTTGTTATTTTTAGATGATTTATTTCTTTTATTAGCAGTCTCCATTGTGTTAAGTATTTGTAGCTGTTATTACATTTATATTTTTAATAAATTTAAGATAAAACCGTTAAAATCTCCTGCTGACCTGGGTTGATTATATAAAATTGAACCGCTAGTAAAGTTGTAAACATTATTTGCATAGATGCTTTTTTTTTCTTGGTTCTTTTTCTTGTATTTATTTGCATACTAAATTGTATTTGTTGTCTTCCGTTGTAGTTATTGCATCTACACTACTGTTCAAACGATTGGGGTCAGTAAGAAAGAAATTGATACTTTGATTCAGCAAGGAGGACACATTACAAATGATCAACAGTGACAGACAAGACATTTATAAATAAATTTGTATAAAAAACATTTTCAACATTGATAATATAAAGAAATGTTAATCCACTTTTAACACCCTGAAGTGTCTATGATTTCCTCTCATACTTATTCTAAAGCAGCTTTCCAGAATCCCTGTTTAGAGATGTAAGACAGACATAATAGTCCTATCAATATAAATAGTAGTAGATTATCCAATAAATCACCATGAACATCAGAATGATTTTCTCCAGTGGTCCAGCTTAATCTCTGTTTATGGAACACATTTAGTAATGGAAGAAATATGCAATCACTCATGAGAGGCGTAACATCATATCTCACACCTGCAGTGTATCAGTCGGTGGCTGAGTGTGCTCTATGAGCATCTCTTTGATCCCTCACACAGGCTTGTCAGAGGGGGGCTGCACCGCACCTTTAATACCTTCCTGGCCTGTTTTTTTTTTTTTTTCTTCTGCATATTTCCAGCTTTTGTAAGAACGTTTGCTGTGATTATATAGCTAGTCAACATTTGTGGATCACTATAACGATGGTCTTTTGGACCCCACTGAATCTGCATTCTGATTAATTTTGCTTGTCTGTGTTTAGTCTTTTGGGATTTTGAGTTAATTTCCAGTCACAGCATGCAAAACTACTTTGGACCTTGCAACGAATATCGGCAGCAGGATGTGACGGCACACACTTGGGCATCTGTTATGAATAAATGATCAATTATAAATGACAAATAATAATAAATTCAGTGTTACAGATTTGGGAAGAGCAGTTAGAAGTAGGCCAGATCCACTCCAGATTTAAATAAAATCATTAAACACACACACAAAAGATCTTTCATATGACCTCTGCCGAGTTCATTTTGACCATCTCGTTTATGTAATGAAAATCACGCCTTTAGTGATTCAGTAGCTTGATGCTTAACATATGGTAAATCATAATTAAGCAGAGCCACAGGACAGATGCAGTAATCAGGGCTTAAAGTTCTCCGGCACCGTGCCGGATCTCCCGCGTGCAGCGTTTGGCCGCGGAAAAAAATAGTCCTACATTTAAAAAAAATCTTGTTGATTGATTTCGAGTCCATGAGTTCGGCCTACCAATGGTATGAGAGGAGCACAGCTTTCACTCTCAACCAAAATAACATTACTAGCCAATCAGAATGTTTTGCTCTTATAAACGCGAGACGCGCATAATAGTATCCAATTGCAGAGTCGCAGCCCTGTTGAATGGAGAAGTGCGACAAAAAGCTGCGAGGCGCAATGGTCAAAGATGTCCATCTAGCACATATTTACATAGTATAACTAATTAAAAAGCAGCAGAGCTTTGTAAACAGCTCAGCGTAATCATGTCATCTCCATAAAACGATATTATTGCCAGAACAAATTTACCGGGATTTTTGAAAAGTTCCTGTTCACACATGATCGCTTAATGGTAACTTCCCGGTAATTTACCAGTAAAGACTGTATGTGTGAAAGGGGCTTCCTCTGCATATGCCGTGAATTTGCTTAACGTTCATCTGGAAAAACGGTGTGCATTATCTCACTAGATTTGTAACGTAAATCATTTATAAACCTTTGCCAACACAGGAGAATACATCAACCTATGTCTAAATATGCCATGTATTGTACATTGCGATTTCAAAATTAAATGGATTTAAACATCGTTTAATCACGCCGTAAAGTGAAACGTCACCAGGCTGTTGGCGCCCTCTGCAGGTATTTGTATTAATACATAATGTACTTAAGTTAAAGGAACACTCCACTATTTTTGAAAATAGGCTCATTTTCCAACTCCCCTAGAGTTAAACAGTGGAGTTTTACCGTTTTCGAATCCATTCAGCCGATCTCCGGGTCTAGCGTAGCACTTTTAGCTGTAGCTTAGCATAGATCATTGAATCTGATTACGTGTACTAAGACCCGCTCAAAAAGAAAAGTTGCGATTTTCTAGGCCGATATGGCTAGGAACTATACTCTCATTCCGTTGTAATAATCAAGAAACTTTGCTGTCGTACCATGGGTGCAGCAGGCGCAATGATATTTTGCAGCGCCTGAAAATAGGCTAACTTCCATCAACATAACCAATGTGACCATCTGCTTGCACAGGGAGCGTGCTGGGGTCTATTTTCAGACACTGCACCCATGGTATTTGTAAAGTAAAAACATTAATATTTTGAAATGTTATTACAATTTACAATAGCTGTTTTCTATGTGAATATATTGTAACATGTAATTTATTCCTGTGATCAAAGCTAAATTTATAGCAGCCATTACTCCAGTCTTCAGTGTCACATGATCCTTCATAAATCATTCTAATACGCTGATTTGCTGCTCAAGGAATTCTTCTTATTATCAATGTGGACAAAAATTGTGCAGCTTATTATTTTTGTGGATTTGTTTTATTTTTTATTATTTGATGTCACCTTTATTTCTATAGTGCTTTATACAAGACATTGTGTCAAAGCAGCTTTACAGAGATACAGAAAAATAAATGAAAAGAAGCTTCAAAACAGCAACATTTATGTAAAACAGAAATCTTTATAAATGGCTGAACAACTTAATTCATCCTTGAATAAGTTTTAATTAAAAAAATAAAAAATAAATAAACCCCAAACCTTTGAACAGTGGTGTTTGAACTAGATGTTAATAAAATTAAAAAAAAATCTTACCTGTGGCTGCGTACGTTTAAGCATGACTTTTTTTATTTTAAGTTAACAGGAACTTTTTAGAAATTTCCACCTCTGGCATTTTTAGATTGAGTGGTTTGCCAAGAACCTGATAAAGCTGTTTGCCTTCTTTTGGGATATCGGTAATGACACGTTCCAGAGCGCTTTCATATTATAAAACCACGAGATTAAAGATGGTCTTTAAACATTTTTGACTAAATTTATGTTTCATATTAGTCTCCCAAAGAGGAGATGCTTGTGTTTTTGATGGAAACATACGCGCTACATTGTCCACAGGTTTTCGGTCTGATTCCAGCCAAACATTTTGGAGAATCGATGAGAGTTTCCGTCGCTTCTAGGTGAATGATTTGATGCCTCCAGCTACAACATGTGCTTCCCGTTTAACTCAGAATACTTGCGTTGCCACATGAAAATGCTGTTACCAAACTATTCAGTTTGCTTTCTCAGTCTGCTCTGACTCTGTGATAGTTTGGATGGTTGTTCTCACTTTATCATAATCACCCTAATGAGTTGTCATGTAGGGGACACATGTACTGCTCTGATCACACCATGCTTCTCAAATCCCCGAGGAGAAGATGATTATTGTCTTTAAATGAGCAGCCCGTTGAGAACGCAGCCCCCAGTTGGTTTCATAATAACTGATTTTATGATGTGTATTTTTTTAACTAGATGAGTCCATGTCAGTCATGCTCTGTGATAATGAGGAGTCGCATCAGCTAAATATATTAAAGATATTAAGACAATGATGCTGTCTTATACTCATCTTTTTTATGACAGAATCAGGTTGAGTTTTGCAGTGGCGACAATGAAAAAGTTGTAGACTTTTGGCCATGTTATTTTGTGTAACGGCAAGTTTTCAAATTTTGCGCTTCCTGATGTTTTTGTTTCAAATTTTTTGAGGATAATTTATCTAAAGAGCAAGGTGGCTAATGTTTTATATAATGCTATTATCGTTCAAATTAATAATTTTATTCAGCAAGGATGTATTCAGCTGATCAAAAGTCAAAATAAAGACTATTTCAAATAAATGCTGTTCTTTTGACATTTTTATTGAAGAATCCTTAAAAAATGATCATGGTCTCCGCAAAAATATTAAGCAGCACAACTGTTTTCAAAATTGAAAATAATAAGGAATATTTTTCAGCACCAAATCAGCATATTAGATTGATATTTGGCCAATATTGATCATTTCAGAATTAATCGGTCAGTTATTAGTGCTAAAAGACCTGATAACCATTCAGCTGTAATGCACCTAGTGTATCAGCTGTCTGCTAAGGTTGCTGTGTTGTTGTGGTGCCACGTGCACCATTTGTTTCTAATCCTACACAGTTTGTGAACAAGCTGTGAAGTTTCAGAGCACATACAAATACGGTGTGCCATACATCAGTGACTGTTTGTTATTCCATTCCTGTGTGTGCTGCTTAGGCGATGCTGTCATGATTTAGGGTCTCAAACACTGCTAAATCATCAAACGTGGTGTTGGTGCTTCACTATGGCAACAGTGCTTTAGGGAAAGGCTTAAGTTCTGATGCTGTGCATATGGTTCACCACAATGAACTTTGTCCGCTCTTTTTCTTTTTTCACACAATAGGAGAATTTTGCCATCTTCACATAAATCATTTTCCTAACATGACAATTTATAGTAACCTGTCATTTTTAAAACATCACAGTTTCCACTGAGATATTAAGCAGCACAACTGTTTTCAACATTGATAATAATAAATGTTTATTCAGCACCATCGTATTAGAATGAAAGATCCTGTGACACTGAAGACTGAAGTAATGGCTGCGGAAAATTCAGCTTTGCCATCTTTACATTTTAAAATATTTTAAAATAGAAAACTATTACTTTAAATTGTAATGATATTTCACAATATTAATATGTTACTGTGTTTTTGATCAAATAAATGCAGCCTTGGTGAGCATTATCGAGACTTTTTTCAAAAACATTAAAAAATCGAGCAAACCCCAAACTTTTGAATGGCAGTGTATATCTATGTCTCAAAGAAAGCTATAGGATGTCTTTAGAAGACTTGTAATATAGCATATAAGTTATATGGATTTGAAACATGAGGATGAATAATGAGTTTTCATTTTTGGGCGAACTGATCCTGTAGTGTCTTACAGTGGATGGGTGTGGAGACTTGAACCCTCATTCTATGGCTCTCTCTATCTGGTCTGTGAACATTGTACCCAATTATTGATCTGTACTGTTTTCTCTCTCTCTGCAGGGTGTGGGTCTTTCAGTTCATGGACGGTTTCGTGTGGCCACTGAGAAGACACTGTTTGCCATGCCTGAGACGGGCATTGGTAAGAGGCAGCCTGTGTTCCTCTCTCTCCCTGAGGGCTGTAACTGGGTTATAATCTGAGTTTTCATTAATAATGCAAGATGGCTTTGGTTTCACAGGAATCAATAGTACTTTATCCAAAAATATGGATGTGAAAAGTAAATGTAAAGCATTCCATTTGTCAAAAACGAAAGTGTAGTTTTGGCACATAAATTTAAAGGAATAGTTCACCCAATATTTGCTGAAAATGTACTCACCCTCAGGCCATCCAAGATGTAGATTAGTTTGTTTCTACATCCAAATAGATTTGGAGAAATTTAGCATTGCATCACTAACTCACCAATGGATCCTCTGCAGTGAATGGGTGCCGCCAGAATGAGTGTTGAAACAGCTGATAAAAACATCACAGAGTAACAATCAATTTTTTTTCTGTGGTCCATTTATAATTACAGTAAGGTTTTTTTTCACAAATATTACTTTGTATCTTGACTGTTAGATATGTCCAGTCTTTCAACTCATGACCAGCCAAAGTACAAGCAGATCAGTGTGAGATGACATGGCACACATTTTTGCAGCTAAAAAAAAACCATGTGATCGGTTTTCTTCTCAAAACATTGCCTAGCCCAAAGACCTCTCCAAAGCAATCTTTCACAGCAGATTGTTCAGGTCAGTTTTATGTGGAAACAGTGTTGAGGGATGGTGCAGATTGAAGCACCTGTCTGATGCTTGTGGTCTCTGAATAAGCGGCATGCTAAAACGCTCCACAGACAGCGTCAATCTCCCTTTTGCTCATGGAAGGAATTCTGTCGATGCGGACAGCATCCGATCAATCTGCTGCTGAAATGTAAGTGGGTGGATCTTGTTCCAACCGTGGAGCCAACAGATGATTCTTGCACTGCAGTATGCAGATTTAATTTCGTAAACTCTCATCTGATCTAGGTGGATGGCTCAGTTCACAGTGACATTAATTGTGTTAGAGAACAAAGTATAAAAACAGAGTACAAGCACAAATTGCCAAATTTGTAAGGTTGTAAATAGAAAAAAAAAAAAGATTTTAGTTTTTTTTTTTTCAAAATGAAGACAATAAGTTTTCACACTTTCAGCACTACAATTCACATTCAAACCATTGTTATTGCAAAAATTTCTTGCAGATGCAACTTGCTTTGGTAATGCGTTGTCTAATGCAATTATATTTTAAATTTTTTTTTAAGCATGACCGAACATTTGGGATCTGTAAGATTTTGACATGTTTTTGAACATTTATGCTCACCAAAGCTGCATTTATTTGATCAAAACTACAGTAAAATTTGTAATATTGTGAAATATTATAACAATTTAAAAACAACAGTTTTCTGTTTTAATATTGGTTAAAAAGGTAAATAGAAAAACTGAATTTTCAGCAGCCATCACAGTCTTCAGTGTCACATGATCATTAAGAAATTATTCTAATATGCTGATTTAATGCTTTTTAATAAGAAACATTTCATATTATTATGAATGTTGAAAACAATTACTTCGCGTAATATTTTTGTGAAAACAGTGATACATTTTCTCTACGATTCTTTGACAAATAGAAAGTTCAAAAGAACACTTTTTATTTGAAATAAAAATCTTTTGCAACTTTTAATTGTTTTTTACTTTCACGTTTGACTAATTCTTGTCTGCAGAATTAAAGTATTTATTTCCTAAAATCAGTTAACAGTTATACCACTGCTGATGTTTATAGAGAACTGAGCTTGTCATAAACTTTCAATTCTGTCATCACTTACTCACCCTGAAAATACGTGGTTAGACATGAAGGTGAGGAAATGAAGACAAAATTTTCATTTTTGGGTCCAAAGTGAATGTTTCCACATTCATCTTTCATAACCATCCTCTCAGAATACATCCATTTGTGCTGCATCTCGCTTTTATTGCACATGCTTTAAATTTTTCGTGCTTCTTTTCATTCCATGTTCTAATTACACCCTGTGAATGGTATGTCTGGAGCCTTGATGCGGTATAAATCAGAATACTTTGCCCTTGTCCCTATCACATGCTTCTACACATGTAGGCAGAAGTCTGCCTCGGCTATTGTAATTCATTTTGGACTCTTAATGAGAGGGCTTTACAGCATTTCCTCCTGTTGTACACCGTCCTTCAGCTCTTGCAAGCCTTGGGTAAAGACTCCCTGTGGAACTGTTAGAGTGGCAGGAAGTAGTGCTAATCACAGTCTGTGACACATCTGTTGAGCGTCTGTGCACGTGCGTGTATGTGTGTGTGTATTTGATTGAGTGAATGCACAGTGTCTGTGTGCCATCACCCACTAATCCCATTAAGAGCCTGTGTCTCTCAACCCCAGATGAATGAATAATCCTCTTTGGGTTTGCACTTGTCTTAATGGTTTATTCTGCGGTAAGGTGGCCAGACTCATGAGTCTCGTAGCCGAGTACTTCCTTATAGTTCTTCTTTCTTGACATGAGGTGGTTAAACAAGTACTACATCATCATGTGCGCATGGAATTTGTGTGGCTCTTCAAAAATCTGCCTATTACATTTTATATCATATTATTTATTGCAAATGAGACTTCAGTCATATAAGCAGCATAATTTAGGAAATCTGCATAAATAATAATTATTTTAAACAGGTTTACCCAACAGGTTTCAGTAGTGTATGCCAATTTGCTATTTGGACAAACACATCCCAGACATCCCACCCCAGACTCACACTGTTGGTAGATCCAGGGTTTCTATCTAGAATTAAAAAAAATGTATTATTTTTTTTACTTTCACATGAATTAGTACTATTAAAAATATATTTAGGATGAATATAGAATTTTGTAATAATAATGAATTTTGTTTTTCAGATGAGACTCTAACAGTGTTATCTTAGTATTATTGATATACTAGTTTTTGTGTTTTGATTTTAGTTTTAGTAATTTTGTTGTGTTTTGCCATTTTTATTGTAGTTTTATTTCAATTAGTTTTTTATTCATTTTAGTTTATTTAGTTTTAGCTCTTTAGTACTTCTTTTAGTACTACTTAAAACTAAAATAAGAAATGTTGCCTTCGGCAATACATTTTTAATAATTTTGATCATATAAATTTAATTTAATTTTAATTATTTTGTTTCAAGTACCAAAAATGTTTTTTATGGTTTTAGTTTTAGCTAGCAATAACAACCCTGGACTTGGCAGCATAATAAACGTTTCTATGAAATCTGCATAAAACATGACGATTAACAAATGTTTAGAACAGGTTTTAAACATGTTTGTCCTATTGGCAGCATTGACTGAAAAAACACCCAAGCTCACACCATTGTTTGAGCCGCTGTTACTATGTAGGGTCTCTCAAACAAACAATGTTTCAATAGTGTTTACACTTTTCTGGGAAAGAAGTGGTACTCTTATAACTCTTGTGCAGTTTAAAGAACTGATTTTTTTTATGTATGCTTTAACTGCTCCAGGCTAAGTGGGATTCTGGAAGGAAAGCACCACGAGCAGCATGGTAGCAGTAGCCTTGAGCCATTTGTGCTGAGCTGTGGTATTTGCCCATGGTGGCACCTTCTCTGACAGTGTGCCAGCCATCTGTGCGCCGAAAATGCCCCCCCACCCTCGCCTGCAACCTGGTTCCACCCCTTCACCCCCTTCTGCTGATAGATTATTTGCTATTTGAGTCTTAAAACTATGCCGGCCATGAGACAAAGCCACTGGTTGAATGGCAAGCCTAATCTGCATTTATGATATTACATTTGCCTCCTGGAATGAGGTCAGGGGCCTAATCCTGTCCTGCTTTATTCAAAATTGTACCTCCTGCTGAGTGTGTGTGAGGGGAGTGGTTATTTTTCTCAGCCCTTGCTACTAAAAAAAAGCACATCAGGTTAATAATTTTGTTGCGCCACACTATGCCATTTCATAACCACATCCTGCAGACTGAACAATGCATTTGATAACTGTTTATACTAGAGTTTTACAAACTAGGGGCCATGGACCTCTTGCAGGTGCCTGTAATTAAATAGTGTAAAAAAATTATTTGTAGAATAATTCTTCAGTATTTGAAGTATTTCACTTTTGACTTAAATTTATAATTTGACTTACTATTATAATAATTGCATTCAGTTTTTAAAGACATGAGTGGATTATCATGATTATTTTATTATTTCTAATTATCTTTCTCAGGTTTATACTTCTAATATAACTCCAGTGGTGGGAGTTAATTCTTAATATAATATGTTATTATCTTTTGGCTTTAGTAATGGCAATATAACATCCAATTACTTGATTTTGGAAACAAAATTCTAAAGTTTTCTTTATAATATCATGTCTGCTACTTTTCCTACATAGCATAAATGGTCTGTACATGGAAATATACAGCTCCCTCAATACTTTAGGAAGAGTGTCCCTTGAGATATTAATATTTGTTGGGTCATTGGCATAAAAAAAGTAATGCCCCTGCTTTATGTGACAGTGAAATAGCTCATATAATCAAGGTCTTTTATTCAAGTATTTCCTCAGTCTCAGTTTTAATATTACTTATGAAATCACTTGAGCAATTATAATAATTCCCTAAAAAGCTGATTTATACTCCTGTGGCCAGAAAATAATATTTTTTTCTTGTGTAAAGAGCACTGGAAGTCATGTCTCATTGGTCCTGTACAATCTTAAGTTGAAGAACGACAATAAGCACGCAGCAGATTTAGAGTGTCACTATGTGGCTTAAACAGTGAATAAATCTTATTAAGAGAGGCAAGAACCGATTGTTATGGATTGAAATACATCGCCAAACTGTTTGTTCAGTGACCTTGAGTTCATAATTATTCTTTTTTTGCATTCATTTTCTCAATAAGGATTTTTAAAAATCCTTCAATAAAGAAGCCTTGAACCAAACCGCCCAACTCTGAATTACAGTACATTTGATTCAGTGCAAAACAGTGTTTGAAACTATGAAAGAGAACAGACTTTATTCAAAGTAAATAAACTAGTCATCCCATGAAGCACTGCAATCAATTCATTAATATAAGATATATAAAACATATGGTGGATATTTTTCAGTGGAGAAAAGGATTGGGAATTTTATGTCCAGATTTTTACTTTATGTCATGCTCTAAATGGCTTTTGTTTTGTGTGTTTGTTTCTATAGGTTTGTTCCCTGATGTTGGTGGTGGCTACTTCCTGCCTAGACGTCAAGGCAAACTAGGCCTCTTTCTTGCCCTGACCGGGTTCCGCCTCAAAGGGAGAGATGTTCAGAGGATCGGGTTGGCTACTCACTTTGTGCAGTCTGACAAGGTAATGTATATAGAGACTGACCAATATACTGGCAAGTTTATCAGGTAATATTTGGCCATTTTGAGGTTACAAAGATATTCGATTGGCCAAATAAATAGCAATCCCTTGCGTCGGTTTGTCGTAGTCTGCTGATGGTCTTGTGAATAGATATTGCACATTTTTCTCTTGTCACAGATTTTTGTGAAATATTGTAAAATATTTTTTCATTTTTAGCTTTCATTAATTTTATATTAAATATTTTATATTTTACAAATAATATATATAAATATGAAATAAACTTAACTTATAGTTCATTTATATTTTTCTATAATTTATAGCATTATAACACATTATACACATATTGGATATATTGGATGTGATTGTTTCATGTTATCCAATGTTTTCACATCCAGCTCCTGGTTAGAACAGTGCTAAGAAGAAGCTATTATGATTGTAGAACAGTTTTAAGACAGTTTCAAAAAAGATGAAACTCAAGTTCAAGGTAACGATGACTGGAAGGGAACTGTGCTGGTGCTGGCCTCCTGGGATTTTGGGCTGCAGTTCTTGCATTTGATGCTGAAATGAGAGAAGTTACTGAAAGGAGAGGACTTAGTCAGCATTTCTCAGGCTTGCCAGTGAGCGTTCGGCAGCAGGGGGCGACCGAGCCCTGACACTACGCCCAGTTCATGTGCCAGAGGTGAAAATGAGGACCAGGGCTTGGCACTGCTGGAGAGAGGGGCATACAAGCCTACGCACACACACACACATCCTCTGGCCAAGGACAGACGACCAGCAGGATCTGGCGTACATGCTACACACAGAAGTGACTTGTGATAAAAATAACTAAAAAAGGGCTCTGAGGACAGGGCGTCAGTTTGTACCGCAGAACTAGTTGTGAGCTGATTCAATTTGTTTTATGAGCAATGTAAAACAACCCTGACAATTATATATTGAGTCAGCCTGTATTATCATTCATTATCACCACGAGCAGCACAGGGTCAGGGAATTTTAAAATTTTGATTTTCAGGCCTGGAAAGCTGTATAAATTAAGAGGAATTTCAAAATTATGGAAAAAGGTGGGGGTTTTATAGTGAATATACATTTTCTAGTCCTCTAAAATATTTAATCAACTAGATATTGTTCCGAATCTCTGTAAAAAAAAAATTAAAAAAAAAAAAT